CAGCTATAAGGTGCTGGGGCTATATGGTGCCACAGCTATAGTGTGCTGTGGCTATAAGGTACCATAGCTATAGTATCCCATGGACATAGGGTGCCATGACTATAAGGTGCCACAGCCACAGGGTGCTGTGGCTCTAAGCTGTCGTGGCTCTAGGCTGCCATGGCTCTAAGCTGCCATTTCTATGAGGTGCTATGGTTCTAAGGTGTTGTGGCTCTAAGCTGCTGTGGCTTTAAGCTGCAGTGGCTCTAAGCGGCTGTGGTGGCTGTAAGCCGCTTGGCTATAAGGTGTCCATAATCTCGGTCCATAAGCCGCCGTGACCATAAGCTGCCGTGTCTTTAAGGCGCCGGGACTGTAAGGCGCCAGGGCCATACGGTGCGGTGTCTGTCCGGTGCTGTGTGCGGTGGCAGCCATGTGGCTCACGCTGCTGCTGCTGGTGGCCGTGGGCACGCTGACACTGGGGCTGGTGGCCCATCGGCTGCTGGCCCCGGCTGGCAACCCCTTTGCCCAGCCACCCCCAGGGCCCCCCCGGCCGCTGGTGATGGAGCAGCAAGCCCGTGACAGGGTCCTGAAGCGGGGTGAGTGCTGGGGGCTGTGTGTCCGTGTGTCCATCAGTGTGTCCATCTATCTGTCCTTGTGGTCATCTGTGTGTCCATCTGTCCATGTGTCCATTTGTCTGTCTGTCCCTGTGTCCGTCCATGTGTCCATCTGTCCATGTGTCTGTCTGTGTCCGTGTGTCTGTCTATCTGTCCTTGTGTTCACCTGTGTGTCCCTTTGTCTGTGTGTCCAACCATGTGTCCATTTGTCCATCCTTGTCTCTGTGTCCGTGTGTCTGTGTCCATCCGTGTGTCCATTTGTCCATCCCTGTCTCTGTCTGTCCATGTGTCCATCCACGTGTCTGTGTGTCTGTCCATGTGTCCTTGCATCTGTCCGTATGTCCATTTGTCTGTCTGTCTGTGTGTCCATCTGTCTGTCCCTCTGTCTGTCCATCCCATTGCACCCTGGCCATGCTGTCCATCCACATGTCCCCATGCGATGAGGACGGGTGGTGTCGTGCACAGACGTGTGCTCAAGCCCCACACACGGGTGTGTGCGCAGGGGTCGGCGCCCAGCGGGTGCCGGCGGCGCTGGACGCGGTGGTGATCGGCAGCGGCATAGGGGGGCTGACGGCAGCCGGGACCCTGGCCAAGGTGGGCAAACGGGTGTTGGTGCTGGAGCAGCACGACCAGGCTGGGGGCTGCTGCCACACTTTCCAGGAGCACGGCAGCGAGTTCGACGTCGGTAAGGACCCCCCTGTGCCCCCATGTGCCTGTGTGGGCATCTCCACACGTGTGCAGGCAGTGTGTGCATGTGTGTGCATGCAATGCATGTCCTGTTTGCATGCAGCATGTGTGCAATGTGTGCGTGCAATACACATGCTGTTCGCATGCCACGTATGCGGTGTGTGCATGCAGTTCACATGCTGTTAGCATGCAGTGTGTATGTGCAACACGTGTCCGTGCAGCACACGCATGCCATGTGCATGCCATGCTCGCAGCCCAGTCCCCGCCACCCCCAAGGTCCCCGCCAGCAGCTGAAAGCCAAACACACAAATCCCCTGTCTGCCACCGCAGGGGGATCCCTCCCTGTGTCCCCAAGCAGGGGACATACGCTCCTGTCCCCAGTTCACCCCAGTTGACTCCCTCGGTCCCGCAGGCATCCACTACGTGGGGCAGATGCATGAGGGCAGCATGCTGCGTGTGGCGCTGGACCAGCTGACGGACGGGCAACTGTGCTGGCAGCGCCTGCCTGACCCCTATGACGAGGTGGTCCTGGGCCACCGGCGCTACCAGCTCCGCGCCGGCAAGGCCACCTTCGCCGCCACCCTGGAGGAGCAGTTCCCTGCAGAGAAGGAGGCCATCAAGGAGTTCATGAGGATCTCCAAGGTGGGGGAGCATGGGGACATCGTGGTGCAGGAGGTGACACATGAGGGTCTCCAAGGTGGGAGAATCTGGGGATGTTATGGTGTGGGTGGTAGCACCAGGCACTCCATGGTGAGAGAACCTGGGGACATCGTTGTGCAGGTGGTGGCACGATGGGCATGGAGGGGACGCAGGTGATGGTCATGGCATGGGACAGAAGTGATGAGCATGTTGGGGACAAGGGTGATGGGCACAGTGGGGACACAAGCACTGGGTGTGTTGGGTACAAGTGATGGGGATGGTGAAGACATGAATGGTGGGCATGGTGGGAAAGGGGCAGTGGGGATGTTGGGAACAAGGGTGATGGTCTTGGAGGGGACTCTGGCGATGATCATGGCATGGGATGGAAGTGACGGGCACTCTGGGGACAAGGACGATGGTTGTGATGGGGACACAGCCATTGGGTGTAGTGGGGACAAGTGATGGGGATGGTGGGACACGGGTGGTGGGCATGGCAGGGATGGGTGCTGGGCTCACGGCAGTGACCGTCCCGAGGACGCAGCGGTGTGACCACGGCTGGGGGTGACACGGGACACTGTTCCCACGCAGATGATGTCGCGACACGTGGCGCTGCTGGCGGTGCTGAAGCTGGTGCCGCACTGGGTGGCCGCGCTCCTGCTCCGCACCGGGCTCCTCCACCGCCTCTCGCCCGTGTTCCGCATGGCGGCCACCAGCCACAGCGACGCCGTGGCCCAGCTGACGGCCGACCCCCACCTGCGCAGCTGCCTCTTCTACGGTCAGGGGCTGTCGCGACAGGGAGGGGACTGTCGCGGTAGGGGAGGGCCATGTCACGATAAGGGAGGACACTGTCACTATGGAGGGGGGGAGCCCTGCTGAGGGAGGAGGGCTGTGTTGCAATAGGGGAGGCTGTGTCATGATAGGGGAGGGCCATGTCGTGACAGGGGGTGGCACTATCCTGATAGGGGAGGGCTGTGTTGCGATGGTGAGGGCTGTATCCTGACGGGGAGGGCTTTGTTGCAGCAGGAAGGGATGTGCTGTGATATGGGAGGGCTCTGTTGCACTAGGGGAGAGCCCTATCGTGATAGGGGAAGGCTGTGTCGTGATAGCTGTGTGTTGTGATAGGGGAGGGGGGAATCGTGATAGGGAAG